TGACAACTTTGTTGCGCCCTTGCAGCTGTTTGTTCAAGTTATTCAGGTGCTCTGTAACATCCACCATAAATGCAAGGTCCGGCATCCATTCTGCGGAATGAAATTCTAACACTGGTTTGCCCTTTTCTTCCATGAACTGTTCAATTTCTTCTCGTAAATCAAAGAAACGCCTCAGCACAGCACCTCGGCTTAACCATCTTACCTCAGTGTGGTATGGCAGGCCATAGATGTGGTCTTTCTCTCTGAGAAGGCTGGATCGGATTAAATTAACAGTTTGGATGACCACCTTCATGACGTTATCCATCTTTAATGACTTGCAACACAAAGCCTCCTGGTGCAAAATACAGTGAAAAGTCAAAAAATCACATCCTCCATTTGCAGATTGCACTATCTCTCTGAACTTTGTCACAACGCCTGCTTTTTTCCCGATCATTGAGGGCGCACCATCTGTAGCCAGGCTGACAGCGCGGGACCAGTTCACTCCGACCCTGTCCAGCGCGCCGACGAGTGCGGTAAAAATATCAGCTGCTGTCGTTGTATCTGTCATCGGCACCAACTCCACGAACTCCTCGGTGACGGTCAATGTGTCATCAATGGCCAGTTGTGCAACATCTGTAATGTCCGTGCTTTCATCAATTGCAACCGAAAACGCAATAAATGACTTTACCTTTTTGCTTCAACTGGCTGTCCAAATCCACTGAAAGATCGGAAATCCTGTCTGCAACTGTGTTTCTTGTCAGGCTGATATTTGCAAAAGCCTGCCGCTTTTCAGGGCACACAATCTCCGCTGCCTTCATCATGCATGTTTTTACAAATTCACCCTCACTAAATGGTTTTGAAGCCACTGCGATTTCATTAGCAATGAGGTAGCTAGCTTTCACTGCAGCGTCACTGATGTCTCGGCTGTGAGTAAACACAGACTGCTGTTTCTTCAGACCCGCCAACAGTTCATTCACCTTCTCTCATCTCCGCTGTCCTTGAAAGTTGTCATATTTGTCGGCATGAAGACTCACATAGTGGCGACGAAGGTTATATTCTTTCAGCACTGCAACATGCTCTGAACACACCAAACATACAGCTTTCCCATTCAATTCCGTGAATAAATAGAAGGATGACCATTTTTCTTGGAACACTCTGCACTCTGCGTCCACTTTTCTCTTTTTTGACAGAGACATATTGGGGCAATGAGGGTGCCAAAGCACATAATGTTAAAAGTAGAAGCCGTAATAAATATCGCGGGCAAAACAAAGTAGCTCATTGGCTGCACGTGCTTGACCTACTTGCTCTGCCCCGGTATAAACAGTTTGCTTGCTTAACACAATTGCTATTGCGCCATCCAGTGGACGCAATTGGAACAGCAGTTTATTTTATTGAAAAATTGCAGCGCATTTTTATACTTTACACATATATATATATATATATATATATATATATATATATATATATATATATATATATATTTATATATATATATATATATATTATTATTTTTTTATCATCTCGCGGGCCGGATTAAACCCGTTTGCAGGCCTGATCCGGCCCGCGGGCCGTACGTTTGACACCCCTGGTGTAGAGGGCCTGGTACAGGCCTGGATGGCTGAGAGTGAACAGGTCCTGATGAATCTACAGGAGAGACAACAGAGGGAACTATGGAACCTGCTCTCAAAGTAGCCTGTGTAAGTACACTCACAAATACATATAGAAACACACACACACACACACACTCTCCTGATCAGTGTGTATCCTTCGTTGTTATTCAGAGTAAGTTGCGCAGCCCTGTGAGTAAGAGTCCTGTGGATGGGGGCCGCTCTTCCTCCTCTGTTCCCCCTCTACTGACCCCCAGACCCAGCCTACAGCAGCCGTGAGTACACACACACAGACGCACACACATACACACATGCACACATATGTATCTCTCTTTCAGGTGGACAGACTGGTGGACAGATAGATAGTTTGTTAATGATGTGGTGTGTGTGCTCTTCTCTGTAGTGAGTTGGTGTTTGTGTGTGTGTGTTAATAATGTGTGTGTCTGCTTGTATGTCAGTTTGTGTTTCTGTGATGAGTCTCTGTTGGTGATCGAGGAGAGCAGAATGTTTGAGAGTCAACTACAGAGTCTGCTACAGGAGACCATCCAGGAGTCGGAGAGCGATATGCAGGTACACACACACACACATACACACAGGGTTGTAAAAGCATACAGTATAACCCTCTCTGGCTGTCTGTCTCCTAATTGCTGAGAGAGTGGACGGTTGAGTGGAGGACAGGACCGCTCCTCTGATCTCTCCTGACTCCACTGGTTCCCACGGAGGAGGCAGGAGTTTCCTCTAGCTACTGGTACAGGGTCAGTTATGATGTCATCCCCCTAATTGTCATGGTAAGGATTGGTGTTAGAGTAATCTGATCCTAGACCCGAGGTTAAGGGCCACTTCTGTCTCAAGCTGATGTCAAACAGAAGCGCCGTCACGTTCCAGACTTCCTGCTGTGGTCCTCTGCTGCAGCTGTGTGGTGGGGAAGACTTACTGCTTCAGAGTGCATCGCACCATTTGTTATTGATATTGACTCTTGGGGTTGCCCCTAAAATAATGGACTGAACCAAAATTGATATTTTCAAGGTTTATGGGGGTGTCCACGTTAACATGGCCAACACCCCTGTAATCTACACCCTGGTTCATTGGAGTAATCCAGTAGATTTGAATGGGGAAAATGGATGTAGACCACTATGTATTTACTGAACCAGGTGGCATTTCTGTATTTAAACCAGTGGTCTGGTCAGATCAAAACTGTCCTCTTGACTAAGGTCCTGGTAGTACAGGTCCTTAAAGGGGTCAAGTTTGGTCTGGACTCTGGTGATGATTCCTAATCTTTCAAATATTTAATTTTATGCTTGCCACAAAATATTATCTGACCAAAGTTTTAGCTGTAGCTTTTATATTCTTTCCGAATTAATGCACTTTACGTAACTAAGGCTGATGCAGGATATCCTTTGTGTTTTTGTGTATACTGTATATTTTAATTGCTTATTTTTCAATAATTGATGTTAACATGTTTTGCAGTGTAATAATTGGTTGTTTGATTTTGCTGTATTTTACTGTGGTCTTATTATTGTTAAGTGTAAGTATGTGTATCTGGTTGAATTGAACTTCAACCACCACGGAGCAATCTGCTTGACAGATATTGTAACAAACTGTAAAGGTGTCCGCATACATAGGTTTGGTTAGCTCCTAGCAGAATTCAGCTAGGCGAAGTGAATGTCTGCGCTCGCATTCTCCCTTAAAATACATTTGCTTGAAAAACGAGAAAAAAGCAGCAATATTACTGTTTGACGCCGTAGCCAGTACACTTCCTCAAAATAGTCCAAATTAATCTAAAATAACTCAAGAAATCTGTAATTAATTTAGACGTTTTTGCAGAGGAGGTCTTACATCTAAAATGTTTGGTGCAGTATTTCCCAAGTGAAAAGATTTGCATGAAACGAGGACACTCAGTGTTTGAAATTCTTCTTTATTCCATGAATTCCAGTTTGAGGTTTCAACTATCGACAACCTTCCCTCTTCCAAGCACAGTAGACACAAAATGACATGATAGTGGTAGAGTTCAGAAAAGAAAAGACAAAAAAAGAAAAATTACTAAGAGGTAAGGAAGATATCCACCATGCCTCTGCCTTCTCAAAACTCTGAACCAAAATAAGATAATTAAAATTGAGAAATGTATGGGGTTATTAGTTTGGCAATCAAAGATACTTACACACAGAGAGTTGAAATTGTCAAAACAGAGGTAACAAGAGACATTGAGCCAACAGTGGGACATTAGGCAGAACCAGAGACATGTATTTAGTAGGCCAATGCGGTTTCTGCATTATGATGCATTTACATGACACTTAAACATTCTATGGCAGCCATGTTAGCTTCCCATTAACATTACATGGGGAATATTTAAACAATGCTATGTAACAGAATGTTGGCCTAACTTTCTAAATATATGGCTCTGGGCAGATCATTCAGCCATTGTTACATTGCTTTATGTTCTGGAATGGGAATACAACTCAGTCAACAAATCTTACTGTCAAGGTGGAATCTTCAAGTTCTCTGTACTACAGATATTTTCCCTGATTTGGAAACAGAAAATCAACCGGTCGGTCTCATTTAAAGTTCTAAGCCGCCCATTTTGTTGCAGTATGCTCGTGTCAATGTGTCCCTGTTTATGTGTCACTGAAAGTGGACATCCATCCACAAAAAGGTCTGTAAAAGGTCTGGGACAACAGAACATCATGACATTTAGAAATAAGTTATTCCTTGAAAACAACTCCCTACTGGCTTTGATAGAATCAATAGAATGTACCACAAATACACAAAACAAAAGTCTACTGTCAATCAATTTTTTTTGTCACAAGTCAAAATTAGATTAAATACATGATCTCAGGCAAAGTGAAATTATACTACACAATCAAACCCTACTAAAAAGGTGCTCCCACAGAAAAGAGAATATGTCTGCTTATGGGGAGGAAGTGGAACAAAAGGTTGACTTCAGACTTGTTTGTTTCAAATAACACCATATCCCTGTAGCTCAGTTGGTAGAGCATGGCGCTTGCAACGCCAGGGTTGTGGGTTCGTTTCCCACGGGGGGCCAGCATGAAAATGTATGCACTCACTAACTGTAAGTCGCTCTGGATAAGAGCATCTGCTAAATGACTAAAATGTAAAATGTACACCACTTTTGATCAGAGTCCCTACGTGAATTAGTAAACTCCTGGTGAATAGGGTGTCATTTGAGACTTGCCAACTGACTGTCTGCTCCAGTGCCATGGCATGACAGATGTTTGTTTACGTCGTGGTATTGCTAAGGAGATAATACAGAGAGATGGTGAACCTAAAAACATCAAAAAAACTACTTGGTTCTCGACAGTCTGTCCATTTTAATACAGTACTGGAGGTCTCAGAGGGTGCTAAGGCCAAAAGACTCAGGAGGTGTGTGTGTGTGGCATAAAAAGGGGGAGATGTGTCCAGGTATCATTGAGGTTTTGTCAGATCCGGGATCTTTCCCTTCCTTCACCCTTCCCCCTCTTCTCCTCTTCCCTCCATCCTTATGCCTCCAGCTCAAAGCCCATGCCAACCTTGTGACCGCCTGTGTTGAAGTTCTTCCCATCGATCAGAGCTGAGAGAGTCAGCTTCACTCCTACAGAGAGAGACACCAGTCTTAACACACAAAGTACTGCTCCTTTCATGTATAGAGCATAGATATCACCTCTTCCTTTCTTCTACCCAACTCCTGTGGTACTAATAGGCAAGGTGTGTAGATATAGACAGATGCAGCTAGGTATCTGGTGTAAAGGTCAGTTTGAGTTACCTGGCCGGAGGGCCTGTGTGTAGCCAACTCCAATCAGACTGGCGTTGTTGACTTTGGCCTGCAGGAGGAGACAGACAGACACAGAGAGGTGAGACAACCATGTATTTGGATGGTTGTGTGGTTCTGTTTCTGGCACTATGGACTGGGCTGTAAGTAAGCATTTCACTGTAATGTCTGCACCTGTTGTATTCGGCGCATGTGACCAATACAATTTGATTTGATTTGATTTGATTTGTATGTGGTTCTGTGTGGTTATGTATGTGTGGTTGTGGAACCCACAGACAGGGAAGCGTCCTTGTCCAGCTGGTATTTGGCTCCGATGCCGAAGCGTGTGTTGTTGCTGCCGGCCGTCCAGGCCAGGTTGATGGCTGTCTCCAGGTGGCAGTTCACCTTCTGGTAGATGGAGCCACCAAACTCTGTACCGTCGTTACTGAGAGGACAAAACACCATGGGCTTAATCAGTAAGGTGCTACATAGCTCTTAAATCAACTTCTGGTGGATCATGACAAAAATAAATACGCATGGAGAAAGCAACTCTGCGCAAACACAAAGCAAACTCTTCTGGACAGTGGTTAGGGTTAGGTGTAGTGGTACTCACACATTGGTGTGGAGCTGGAAGTCCCCAGCCTTGTATCCCAGGGCAAAGTTGTTCTGGGACAGTTTGGACTTGGCTGTGTCGAAGGCCATCTGGTACCCAGCCAGCCAGCCCTCATAGCCCAGCACGGCAGCAGCGTGGACCGTGGGGCCGGCCATGTCAAAGACCAGGTCACAGCCCAGGTTGATGAAGTCCCGCTTGTAACCAGTCTTCAGCTTGGCACTCTTCTTACTGCAGACAGAGGGGAAGGGGACAGGAGGAAAGTAGAGAGGGTGTCAGGATTACTGTGACATTATGGGCCCCAATTTGACAACGGATGAAAAAAACTGCCCAAGTGACCGTTTTACTGCCTTTACTGGTGCTGTTTATTTCAAAATCCTTCATGTTCATGTGCACTACTAAGGCATATGGAGGGAGGTAAAAATTGACCAGTGAGTGATTAGCTTACCCAGTGTTGGGCACAAATGATGTGTCCAGAGCCAGCTTCAAGCCCTTAGCCAACTACAGAAACACAGGACAGAGAAGGAGATACATTACATACACAGGAGGTTGGTGACACCTTAATTGGGGAGGATGGGCTCATGGTAATGTCTGGAGCGGAATTTGTGGAATGGTATCAAATACATAAAACACATGGTTTCCAGGTGTTTGATGCCATTCCATTTGCGCCGTTCCGGCTATTATTATGAGCCATCCACCCCTCAGCAGCCTCCTGTAATTAGATATTGGTGAACAGCAGACACAGAACAATGAGAACAATAAGGGTAATAATATTACTGACTAAACTCTGGGTTTAATGTTCATAGTCTATTGGATGCATTTACATACTGGTGTTCAATGAGTTAACATTAAGTGCTGTCAGGAGCTGGTTTGGTGCGGTGTAACCTGATTTTGGGCTAAACTGGTTTCAAACTCACCTGGTCCTCCATAGAGACCTCGGTGGTCAGGGTGTTGTCTGTGTTCCATTTCTGGTTGAAGCTCAGGCCCAGCTCCTTCACCTTATATTTGGTCTCCAGGTTACCTGCTGCCTTCCCTGTGTCAGTGTTACTGGAGCCTGAGGTCGCAAACTCCTGAGAGATGGAAGGAGAGTGGAAGGTTAGGAGGAGGGAGAGAGGGGAGTTAAAGAAGGAGGGAAATTATGGATGGTTAATTGCAAAAAGTAAGAGAGCACAGCAGAAGAAACTGGAGCAAGGGAGAGAAAATGGAAAAGAGAAAATAAGGGGAAGTGTTAAAGAGAGCTGAGCACACTCCTCACTGATGAGAGAAAGAGACGGGGGATACAGAGATAAAGAGAAAGAGACAGGGAAAGAGATAAGTACCCCTACCACATCTCTGCCAAGCAATTCCTCTCAGGTTTGCATGACTGAATGTAGTCAGCAGCTACCGTTTTGAGTAGTGGTAGATGCCCAAGCCAGTCATCTGGTCACTGGCAGACCAGTAACCTGTAGACCAGTAACCGGGCCAGTTAGACCAGTCTAAAGGTGTGTCCGGGGATAGGAGTTAATGTCATTATGGCCTTAGCAGTGCAAAGGGAATGGTATCAATCAATCAGATGGGACACTGCTGCAAGAAAAGCCTGCTCCACATACACACACACCCTTACCATCTGACAATGAAGTCCAGAGAGGAAGCAGAAAAAAGGCAGAGAAAGAGAGAGGAAGATATAGTTAGGTCAGAACCATACAGATATTCACATTAATCACTTTTCCACTCCTTCAGAAAATAAGATTCTAATTAACATACTGTATGTACCAGAGACACCAAAGCTGCACCAGCTTGTTTGAACTGTGAATCAGAGATATAGAGATTCCTCTAATTTACAGGATACGGTTGACTTTTGGGGGAAAATATTAAGTCCAAGTAAAGTGTATTTCATGAAATCTTTGTGATTCAATTCAGTCGCAGGGAGAGGTAGATTAGTTATCCAAATGGGTGATATACTGTATGATATGGGCAATTCCGTGGGAAGGTCAACCTGAGCATGCCAAAATAAAGTCAGTCATTTCCAAATGAAACCACGTTCATAATTATGCTTAAGGTCTTGTTGGAGTTCAGGCTTTATTTGAAAAGTTTAATTTTGACCATTTACAGCATAGGTGGCCAAGTCTCAAAAAAGGCTTTTCAGTCAATCATATTTCATGGCTTTTAGAAAGAGCTCAGTAGCTTGTTTTTCCACTCACAGCTGTCCCCCAGTATTAGTTGTGAAGATGATATGTTAATGAAGCACTATAGACCAAATTGAAGTGTCTTGAGTTGTGTGTTTTGTTCTACAGTCTTGTAAAGATAGGGGTGTGAATGGCACAGACAATGTAACATCCATAACGTTTTAAGGAAATGTTTTAGTAAAACATGCACCTTACATCGGATCATCTTGAAACTTTCTCTGTAAAGATAACTTTCAAGGTTGTATATGGTCTATAATTGGTTTCTCTCTTTTCATTGTCAGTATCCTTTTTCAGCATTATGATATCCGTAACATCCATTGCGGTTGTGGATGTGATGGATATTGATGTATCATATCTTAGCTTCAGAAGATTGTGCATTCACCACATTTTGTGTGCTTGTTCTGGGATGTATTCTTCAGACTTTTACTGAAGCAATTCTTTATCTTGAAAAATATGTGTTCTAGCTAAGATTCTCTCTGAAAATATATGCTGAAATGCATTTCTCACCCATGGCAGTACAGTGTTTTAGATAGAATGATGATAAAGAGTGTTTTTCAACATCTGTGAATAGTCCTGGAGTGTTTTTTTTCTTCTTCAAATGAAATCCCCCCAAAATATAACGACTTTATCCAGTGTCCATAAAGGTGGATTGGCAGTATAGGAACATGTATATTGTCTAATTTGCATATTTCTGAAAAGTTGTAATACAAAATAATCTTATATTTATGTCTTCATTCAATTGGTAAAGGTTACTTTTGATATATATAAAGTGGAGAACAAACAATGTTAGGGTGTAGTGACTGGCCTTGTATACTATTCAGGCTACCTGTAATTATGCAATGCTAAAGTACGGTGCCTTCTGCTGTCCTTTTAAAAACAATCCAAATGACAACAAATTATGATAGATGTGATAATGAAAATCTTTGAGATTTGAATGTCTATTTCAGACCTGTAACATACATTTAATTTACATTTAGAAATTTAGCAGACGCTCTTTCTTATCCAGAGCGGACTTAAGTTAGTGGAATACATATTTTTGTTATACTGGCCCCCCGTGGGAATCGAACCCACAACCTGGCGTCGAACCCACAACCCTGGCGTTGCAAACGCCATGCTCTATCAAAGAGCTACATCCTGCCGGCATTCCTCCCTACCTGGACGACGCTGGGGCCAATTGTGCGCACGCGCGCCCATGAGTCTCCCTGGTCGCGGCCGGCTGCGAAAGAGCCTGGATTCGAACCAGGTCTCTAGTGACACAGTTAGCACTGCGATTGCTAGTGCCTTAGACCACTGCGCCACTTTCAGGAGCGAACATCATAATGGAGGGCCCTCCCACTGTACCATACATAAGTCGTTTTTTCCTCTCTAAAGTAATAAGGAAATTACAATATTTTCAAAATTATCGTTTTTGTGTTCAGCCAAGCCTTTCCTTCGAAATGGCTATCCATGTTTTGACCTGACTTACAACCTCACAGACTTTTGCTATTATGTTCCGTCTCCCCATAATGCTTGTCCATTCCATGTAGAATCCATAAAGCCTCTTATTTGCTTTATTTCTCCAACATGACAATATTTAAAAGTTCGCTGGGGGCTATACACTCCCCCCAAGGGGTAATATAAACATACACATCAACATTTATAATTTGTTTGTCCATTCTGTGAGACATTAAAGTTGTGATTTTGCTTGCAAATGTAATGTCCATAACTCTGGAATCGACCATATCCAAAATGTGTACAGGCCGAAACAAGATGAAGATGAAGATAATGACAAAAAACAACATAATCCTGCACACAGTATTGTTGCCCCTAACACCTTTTAAGAGAAGATAATGCACAGTTTTTAGGAAGCAGCAATGCTATGAGCGGTATCCATTTTGTTCTAACGTAGAGGTAGATTGTAGTCAGACAGTGACGTGCCAAGCTGACTGGGTTAGACAGCCTGTTAGACTCTCTGGCAGACACACACACACACACACACACACTGCCAGCAGACAGTGAGTCAGCCATTTTGACTTTCCTGTTACATTTTACATTTTTACTGTTCAGCCCTGAGGTTAGGGTCTAGACATGCAGCTTATAAGGCTAGACTACACAAACACACACACACATACACACAGACTAATGCATGGGACACTGTTCGAGAGTGGCCTAAATGTGAATGTTACACATCTGTGACAAATGATTTGAAAAACGTGGTTTATTTCATTCCCAGCACCACAATGTAATGTGAACGTGTGTGTTAGTATTTCTCAAATATTACACATCTGATCACTGAGTGTTGCAGGACAATTCCAGATAAATACAGTGCATTCGGAAAGTATTCAGACCCCTTGACTTTTTCCACATTTTGTTACTTTATAGCCTTATTCTAAAATGGATCCAAAAAAAATAAAAAAAATGGAATCAATCTACAAACAATAGCCCATAATGACAAAGCAAAAAGTTATTTATTTTTTCGCAAATGTATTAAAAATAACAAACTGAAAAATCACATTTACACAAGTATTCAGACCCTTTACTCAGTACTTTGTTGAAGCATCTTTGGCAGCGATTACAGCCTTGAGTCGCTACAAGCTTGGCACACCTGTATTTGGGGAGTTTCTCCCATTCCTCTCTGCAGATCCTCTCAAGCTCTGTCAGGTTCGATGGGGAGTGTTGCTGCACAGCTATTTTCAGGTCTCTCCAGAGATGTTAGATCGGGTTCAAGTCTGGGCTCTGGCTGGGCCACTCAAGGACATTCAGAGACTTGTCCCGACGCCACTCCTGCGTTGTTTTGGCTGTGTGCTTAGGGTCGTTGTCCTGTTTGAAGGTGAACCTTCGCCCCAGTCCGCTCTGGAGCAGGTTTTCATCAAGGATCGCTCTGTACTTTGCTCTGTTCATCTTTCACTCGTCCTGACTAGTCTCCCAGTCCCTGCCCCTGAAAAACATCCCCACAGCATGATGCTTCCACCCCCATGCTTCATCGTAGGGATGGTGCCAGATTTCCTCCAGGCTTGGCATTCAGGCCAAAGAGTTAAATCTTGGTTTCATCAGATCAGAGAATTTTGTTTCTCATGGTCTGAGAGTCTTTAGGTGCCTTTTGGCAAACTCCAAGCGGGCTGCCATGTGCCTTTTACTGAGGAGTGGCTTCCGTCTGGCCACTCTACCATAAAGGCCTGATTGATGGAGTTCTGCAGAGATGGTTGTCCTTCTGGAAGGTTCTCCCATCTCCACAGAGGAACTCTAGAACTCTGTCAGAGTGACCATCAGGTTCTTGGTCACCTCCCTGACCAAGGCCCTTCTCCCCCGATTGCTCAGTTTGGCCAGGCAGCCAGCTCTAGGAAGAGTCTTGGTGATTCCAAACTTCTTCCATTTAAGAATGATGGAGGCCACTGTGCTCTTGGGGATCTTCAATGCTGCAGAATTTTGTTGGTACCCTTCCCCAGATCTGTGCCTCGACACAATCTTGTCTCGGAGGTCTACGGACCATTCCTTCGACCTCATGGCTTGGTTCTTGCTCTGACATGCACTGCCAACTGTGGGACCTTATATACATTTTACATTACATTTTAGTCATTTAGCAGACGCTCTTATCCAGAGCGACTTACAATATAGATGTGTGTACCTTTCCAAATCATGTCCAATCAATTGAATTTACCACAGGTGGACTCCAATCAAGTTGTAGAAACATCTCAAGGATGATCAACAGAAACAGAATGTACCTGAGCTCAATTTCGAGTCTCATAGCAAAGGGTCTGAATACTTATGTCAATGTAATTTTTCAGTTTTTTATTTGTAATACATTTGCAAAAAATTCTAAAAACCTGTTTTCTCTTTGACATTATGGGATATTGTCAAATCAAATCAATGATTTTTATTTATTTAATAAATTTTAGAATAAGGCTGTAACGTAACAAAATGTGGAAAAAGTCAAGGGGTCTAAATACTGTAGGCAGAGGAGTCTACTCCCAGCTAGGGAAGTTGTGGGTTTTTGGTTTCCCATTAGTTCTGGGAACGTTTTTTAAACATTCTGAGAACGGAAGTGAAAATGTTGTCTGTTCTGGGAACGTTCATTTTTAGGTTGCAGGGACGTTCTGAGAATGTTTTAATATGGTTCCCTGAAAGTGTTCCTGGGAAGTTTTATTAACGGATTAATAGGTTATTTTACAGTAATTAAATAACGTTCTGAGAACCTATGATCTTCTGTTCTCTATCCATGGAATTAGTCCTCTGCGCCACCAGGATGGAGCTAGCATGCCATGTTTTTTTTTACTCATACAAAGCTGTTCATTTTAGTCTATTCAAACAGACCCAAATTCAAAGGAAACAAACACCATTAAGATCAGGAGTGGCCAATTAGTGGGCACGGCCAACACACCTGAACACACAAGATAGAAGATAGAAAGAGTTTTGTTGACGCTGAGAACAGAATGTATATGTTTTTAAATAACATTCTTTGAACATTCTTTGAACGTTACTAATGTTTTCTTGTGGTTTTTATGGAAAGTTTTCTTAATGTTCTGAGAACATGACTTTAAATAGAACCATGAGGAAACCTGCAGAAAATGTTATGCTGAAGTTCTGAAATTCCCTCCTAAGAAACATTTGGTTCTCAGAACGTTATGTGCTAGCTGGGTATCCTGCACCATTCCCAGAATGTTGTGGGAAGGTTGTATGCACCAAGCTCTAAGAAACATATGGTATAGCGTATAAAACAGAGGAGGGGGAGGAGGAGGAGGAGGGGAGAGAGAGAGTTCATTTCCTCAGTGAAAACAATGTACTGAGCAAATGTCAAATTGGCGTTTTACCAAATTACCATACGACAGACGATGTATTCACCCTGCATACCCTAATTGACAAACAAACAAACCAAAACAAAGGCAAAGTCTTCTCATGCTTTGTTGATTTCAAAAAAGCGTTTGACTCAATTTAGCATGAGGGTCTGCTATACCAATTAATGGAAAGTGGGGTTGGGGGAAAAACATACAACATTATAAAATCCATGTACACAAACAACAAGCGTGCGGTTTCCACAGGGCCGTGGGGTGAGACAGGAATGCAGTTTAAGCCGCACCCTCTTCAACATATATATAAACGAATTGGCGAGGGCACTAGAACAGTCTGCCGCACCCGGCCTCACCCTACTAGAATCTGAAGTAAAATGTCTACTGTTTGCTGATGATCTGGTGCTTCTGTCACCAACCAAGGAGGGCCTACAGCAGCACCTAGATCTTCTGCACAGATTCTGTCAGACCTGGGCCCTGACAGTAAATCTCAGTAAGACAAAAATAATGGTGTTCCAAAAAAGGTCTAGTTGCCAGGACCAGAAATACAAATTCCATCTAGACACCGTTGCCCTAGAACACACAAAAAACTACACATACCTCGGCCTAAACATCAGCGCCACAGGTAACTTACACAAAGCTGTGAACGATCTGAGAGACAAGGCAAGAAGGGCCTTCTATGCCATCAAAAGGAACATAACATTTGACATACCAATTAGGATCTGGCTAAAAATACTTCAATCAGTTATAGAACCCATTGCCCTTTATGGTTGTGAGGTCTGTGGTCCGCTCACCAACCAAGAATTCACAAAATGGGACAAACACCAAATTGAGACTGCATGCAGAATTCTGCAAAAATATCCTCTGTGTACAATGAAAAACACAGAATAATGCATGCAGAGCAGAATTAGGCCGATACCCGCTAATTATCAAAGTCCAGAAAATAGCCGTTAAATTCTATAACCACTTAAAAGGAAGCGATTCCCAAACATTCCATAATAAAGTCATCACCTACAGAGAGATGAACTTGGAGAAGAGTCCCCTAAGTAAGCTGGTCCTGGGGCTCTGTTCACAAACACAGACAGACCCCACAGAGCCCCAGGACAACAACAACAACACAATTAGACCCAACCAAATCATGAGAAAACAAAAAGAGAATTACTTGACACATTGGAAAGAATTAACAAAAAAACAGAGCAAACTAGAATGCTATTTGGCCCTAAACAGAGAGTACACAGTGGCAGAATACCTGACCACTGTGACTGACCCAAAATTAAGGAAAACTTTGACTATGTACAGACTCAGTGAGCATAGCCTTGCTATTGAGAAAGGCCGCCGTAGGCAGACCTGGCTCTCAAGAGAAGACAGGCTATGTGCACACTGCCCACAAAATGGAGGTGTAAACTGAGCTGCACTTCCTAACCTCCTGCCAAATGTATGACCATATTAGAGACACATATTTCCTTCAGATTACAGAGATCCACAAAGAATTCGAAAACAAACCCAATTTTGATAAACTCCCTTATCTACTGGGTGAAAAACCACAGTGTGCAATCACAGCAGCAAGATTTGTGACCTGTTGCCACAAGAAAAGGGCAACCAGTGAAGAACAAACACCATTGTAAATACAACCCATATTTATGTTTATTTATTTTCCCATTTGTACTTGAACTATTTGCACATTGTTACAACAATGTATATAGACATAATATGACATTTGAAATGTATTTTCTTTTGGAACTTCTGAGTGTAATGTTTACTGTTAATATTGATAGTTTTTTTCACTTTTGTTTACTATCTACTTCACGTGCTTTGGCAATGTTAACATGTGTTTCCCATGCCAATAAAGCCCTTAAATTGAAATGAGAGAGAGAGAGAGACAGAGAGAGAGAGAGAGAGAGAGAGAGAGACAGAGACAGAGAGAGAGATTGTACTTACAACTCCACTCTGGGCCTTGGTCTTTAGGTCCAGTTTCACGATTCCAAAGCCTGGAGGTGAAAAGAGAAAGAGGAGAAGGAAGAGAAAAATCATGTCTCTATTCATACAAAATAGAGGAGCAGACCACATTTTGATTTGGGATACTTCTCTGTAGCCCTTCGTTATTGTATACATCATTTACATGACGGTTTTCATTGAGGGTCATCCAAGCTTTAAAGCTTTATAGTTGTGAAACAAGAACATTTGCAGAAAAGTAGATCTAATGGTATGAAACAAAGATGACAAGAGGCACTGTTTGACTCACTATAGATGAGCATGAAACAAGTCTAAAAACACACACACACTGAGTCCCAGCCCCCATCCGCTGACCCCTGGGGTCGTAAATAAGGTTAGAGGTCACAGAGTCCTTCATGACCAGCTGAGGTTTATGTCTCAGAGAGAGAGAGAGAGAGAGAGAGAGAGAGAGAGCCTAAGAGCTTACAGACACATGAAATATGTAATTGTGTCCTCCCTTTCTCCTTGCGTGTGGTGGTGGTGGGGGGGGGGGGGGGGGGGGGGGGGGGGGGGGGGGAGCAGGGGGATTTACTGACTTACCATAGCCCTTGCTGAAGATGTCTTTGGCGGCTTTTCCCAGGTCTGAGTATGCAGGAGGAACAGCCATGGCGACTGTGGAGAGAGATAGACAGGTTTGGGTGTATCTCTGATACTACAACATCACTTCTCTGACTCACAGGAGGCAAAAGGCTGTACAAATGGAGCGCAACCTCCAGCACACAAGCAAAACATCACATTCATTCTATGCAGAAAAGGTCCAACACAGCACCTACCTATGACTTCACACAGAACACTGCTGTGTTCTAGTGAAGTGGCATTGCACTGAAGCAAACACACACAGCATCTAGGCCTACACACAGTGTCCACCGAGCATCTATCTATGCGTTCACAGTCACACACACACACCACACACTGCTCTAGAAAGGTTTTCAACAGAAGCAAAACACACACCAACATACACACCACACAGCATCTACTAACTAGAGGATCTACAGGCCAACTAATGCCTTACCCTTGGTAAGTCCCTCGTACATTCCTTGACTGTGTCCTAAATAATATCCACACTAGCATACTAGGCTATTTAGTATGAATGGTCAATACATTGCTTCATACTAAAGTAGTATCCAAAGTTTTGTTGAAGCCTTTATTAAGGCGTGCTTTGTAAAGCCAATGTACTGTCAAGTACTGACGGCCAGGCCAGCTACACTAGCCCTGCCTGGTCTGGTCTACTGGGCCTGTGATAAATTGCCTCTCGCTACCCCATACATCTCCACTCAAGCCCAGCCAATTAGTTTAACTCAGTCCATTATCGAACCGCTAGCTAGCATGGTTTAACTTAATGGTATTGACCACTGGTATACCAGGTAATCATCTCTCTAAATAGGAAACCACATGGCACCATATTAGGCACAGCCTGAATGGGGCCATGGTAAGATTAAAGTGTGTTTGATTTTGAGGTGAACTGTGCCTTTAAAATCCTGCCACTTCTTTTGCCTAAGTCAGCATTGTTAGTAGCTAGCTGCCTGGGTATGAAACTGTTAGCGTGAAGTGGAAGAAGATGTATGCCATATAGCAATCACAGTATATATACCACAGCACTCGCTCTACTATGTGCTATTGAGCGACAGTAAGCCTAAACCAGAGTTTGGCTGGTCAGCAACTATCACCACTGCACTATGCTAGCTTTTATAATGTCACCAGGGTCCCCTGTGTCTCTGCTAGGATAAATGACTGGCGTGTGTGAGAGTGTGTGTGTGTGTGTGTGTGTGCGTGCGCATTGGGTATGAAGGTGACTTTGCCATGGCAGTGTGTCTCTTTCTGCTCTTGCTGGTGACCAGGGGCTGTGTCCTAACCCTCCTACATACCTTCCTACCTTTCAGATTAGTGGCTTGTCATATTGAACATATCATGTTACTAATCAAGTCCTTTCAAATCAGAAGTCATGAAGGAATAGAGACAAGGACAAGGCAATCTAAGACTGTTAGGACAAAGCCTACTCTCTGACACGTGTGTTTGTAATAAGTGCTATACATCTGTAACATCTGAATGAAAGACTGATAACATCTTTGTCTTCCCCACCTTCCTCTCTCCCCCACCTCCCTCACCTCCGTATCTCCCGCACCTCCCACACTCCGTATCTCCCCCACCTCCAACACTCCCCCACTCCCCCACCTCCCTCACTCACCCTTGTGGCAACATGGCACACAGGGAGCTCCTTTGTTCTGACTGGCCTGTGCTGCTGGACTCTCCCCCTCCTTCCTCACCAGGCTCGCCTTCTCTCCTCCTTTGTCTGACATGACTCTTCACATGTGGGGAAGGAAGGACAGAAGACTTTGGCATGCAATCTCTCACTGTTTTCACAACAATGCTGGTGGTGTCTGTACTCTGTAGTTGGTCTGCTTCGGCTTAACTGGACTGGACACCTTTGTGAATTTGTATTGAGTTTTAGGTGCTACCTTTTGTTGGAAGTGGTTTTGGAAAGGATAGCCGAAGCAGTCTTTAAGTTTGTGGTCTCTTAGTTGCATGCCCTATACTGGCATGGTTATCATCACAGTCCATGCAGCACTGTGACTCTAAAGCCACGTATGCAATCAAACTATCAGATATACAATATCAACTGTCCCTTTCCTCTGAGCTCTTCACATTTGGCAGAACACATTCTGTTCCCCATGTGCACGTCTCCAGGGCAGGGCCTGCAACTATTACGCTAATATTGAACCAAAGGGTGTGTCCTCTACACTGATAAAGCAGTGCTCTATGGGGCCTCCCGAGTGGCGCAGCGGTCTAAGGCATCACTACAGACCCGGGTTCGATCCCAGGCTGTGTCGCAGCCGGCCGCGACCAGGAGACCCATGAGGCGGCGCACAATTGGCCCAGCGTCGTCCGGGTTAGGGGAGGGTTTGGCAGGCCGGGATGTCCTTGTCCCATCGGGCTCTATTGACTCTGCATGCACGCTGACTTCGGTCTCCAGTTGTACGGTGTTTCCTCCGACACATTGGTGCGACTGGCTTCCGGGTTAAGTGAGCAGTGTGTCAAGAAGCAGTGCGGCTTGGCAGGGTCGTGTTTCGGAGGATGCATGGCTCTCGACCTTCGCCTCTCCCGAGGCCGTACGGGAGTTGCAGTGATGGGACAAGAATGTAACTACCAATTGGATATCACAAAAATTGGGGAGAAAAAGGGGTAAAAAGTACAAAAATAAATAAATAAATAAATAAAAAATGTCAAAACTCTGCTCTATGGCCCGTATGACTGACATGTTGGCTGACATGTTTATCACCCAAAGCCATAGGCTGTATAGACGACAAACACACGCCCACCTATGAGAACATTGTGATCTGGTAACACACACACACACAAACAATACTGTGGTACCGAGAGCATCTGGTGATTTGGGGACACAGAGCGGTGAGGTGGATGATTGGTTTCCGTGGTGATGGTTACCCTGGTGTCACTGGGAATTTAGCACACACGCACAAACACACGCACGCACGCACGCACCTCTTGTCCTCTATGTCTGTCTCAGTGCTGTTGTCTATGCTCAAAGGCTTTATGATAGTCAGCTGACTGATGCAAGGGGGGCATTCTGCAGACTCAGCATGGTGTGGGATCTGTCTTTGTCAACACCCCCCCGACACATACAGACTCACACCCTGCCCCCTTTATTCCCTCCTTACTCAGTCCCTTCTTCCCAGCTTCCTCACCCTCTCCTACCCCTTAACCTCTGTTCTATAAATAACCCAGGTGAACTCGACACCATACCTCATATGGCCACGCCATTTTGAAATGGGTGCTTTACTCCTCTACTTCCTGCAACCCTAACCTCACACACTCCTCTCTCCTCCCTTGACCCCTACTTTTCTCTACCTTGACTCCCCACCCCCGTTCTCCACTCCCCACGCACAGCCCCCTCTCTGACCCCCTTCACTAGCCTGTCCCCCAAACAATGTCAAAAACACATTCACTGAGCTCTAGGGTCACAACGACATTCATAAATCAGCTACGCACAGGACAGGAAAACAACTGCACACTCAGACAATAACATGGCTGCCCCAATTGACCAGATGGGCATAACACATCCAGTGGGATCCTGGGAAATGTAGTTACCAACCAGACATCATTCACCATAGTAGTCCTTGGTCTTTGTACCATTCACACAAAATAAGCATAATTGTTGGGGAGATCAGTTAGCTGCAAAAGTTATTATCATGCCAGCCCAAAGACACTGGTTTGGTGATGGAGACTGACTAGGGACAGGCGAGGGTGACGCTTTACTTAAGGTCTGCTTATAAACGGCTTACAAACCATTATTATATGCTTGTTACTCAGTAGTAACCGTTTTTTAAACCATTATACCTTGGTCTATTTTTAATCCAATGTTTAACAAATGATGTAGGCTAATAATGCTCAGTAATTAATAAACAGATCTTCACATGCAGTGTAAGCCGGCCGGGCCTATGTGGCATGTTGGTATTGGAATGTGTGAGATAAGGTCGAGGGAAGTCAAGTTACACCTTGTGAATTTATAGCCTGAATGCATGGGTTAGCTATGGCTACCCAGGGCCGGTCCTTGCCGTTCTGCCGCCATAGGCGAGACCAATGTCCGTGGATGTGGAAATCAAGGCCGGTCCGGAATTGCACCAAAAAAAGATGTCCAAAAAGCGTCGGCCCGTACTTACTGAGGTGTAGCCTACAGTGCTTTTTTGTTTAGTTTTCTTTTAGTATTAATTTTTAATATTTTTTCATAAATTTTTGTGTCCTTTTTTTTCAGGGGGTAGATCAGCTTTAATATTGCAGATAAATTGTAACTTCCATCAATGTAATTGTCTGCATCCCTTCCAATCCCCCATATGTTGTTTTTTTGCAAATATACATACATACATACATACATACATACATACATACATACATACATACATACATACATACATACATACATACATACATACATACATACATACATACATACATACATACATACATACATACATATACACATACATACAGTGGGGGAAAAAAGTATTTAGTCAGCCACCAATTGTGCAAGTTCTCCCACATAAAAAAATGAGAGAGGCCTGTAATTTTCATCATAGGTACACGTCAACTATGACAGACAAATTGAGGAGAATAAATCCAGAAAATCACATTGTAGGATTTTTAATGAATTTATTTGCAAATTATGGTGGACAATAAGTATTTGGTCACCTACAAACAAGCAAGATTTCTGGCTCTCACAGACCTGTAACTTCTTTTTTAAGAGGCTCCTCTGTCCTCCACTCGTTACCTGTATTAATGGCACCTGTTTGAACTTGTTATCAGTATAAAAGACACCTGTCCACAACATCAAACAGTCACACTCCAAACTCCACTATGGCCAAGACCAAAGAGCTGTCAAAGGACACCAGAAACAAAATTGTAGACCTGCACCAGGCTGGGAAGACTGAATCTGCAATAGGTAAGCAGCTTGGTTTGAAGAAATCAACTGTGGGAGCAATTATTAGGAAATGGAAGACATACAAGACCACTGATAATCTCCCTCGATCTGGGGCTCCACGCAAGATCTCACCCCGTGGGGTCAAAATGGTTACAAGAACGGTGAGCAAAAATCCCAGAACCACACGGGGGGACCTAGTGAATGACCTGCAGAGAGCTGGGACCAAAGTAACAAAGCCTACCATCAGTAACACACTACGCCGCCAGGGACTCAAATCCTGCAGTGCCAGACGTGTCCCCCTGCTTAAGCCAGTACATGTCCAGGCCCGTCTGAAGTTTGCTAGAGTGCATTTGGATGATCCAGAAGAGGATTGGGAGAATGTCATATGGTCAGATGAAACCAAAATAGAACTTTTTGGTAAAAACTCAACTCGTCGTGTTTGGAGGACAAAGAATGCTGAGTTGCATCCAAAGAACACCATACCTACTGTGAAGCATGGGGGTGGAAACATCATGCTTTGGGGCTGTTTTTCTGCAAAGGGACCAGGACGACTGATCCGTGTAAAGGAAATAATTAATGGGGCCATGTATCGTGAGATTTTGAGTGAAAACCTCCTTCCATCAGCAAGGGCATTGAAGATGAGACGTGGCTGGGTCTTTCAGCATGACAATGATCCCAAACACACCGCCCGGGCAACGAAGGAGGGGCTTCGTAAGAAGCATTTCAAGGTCCTGGAGTGGCCTAGCCAGTCTCCAGATCTCAACCCCATAGAACATCTTTGGAGGGAGTTGAAAGTCTGTGTTGCCCAGCGACAGCCCCAAAACATCACTGCTCTAGAGGAGATCTGCATGGAGGAATGGGCCAAAATACCAGCAACAGTGTGTGAAAACCTTGTGAAGACTTACAGAAAATGTTTGACTTGTGTCATTGCCAACAAAGGGTATATAACAAAGTATTGAGAAACTTTTGTTATTGACCAAATACTTATTTTCCACCATAATTTGCAAATAAATTCATAAAAAATCCTACAATGTGATTTTATAGTTGACGTGTACCTATGATGAAAATTACAGGCCTCTCTCATCTTTTTAAGTGGGAGAACATGCACAATTGGTGGCTGACTAAATACTTTTTTTCCCCACTGTACATATACAGTGCCTTGCAAAAGTATTCATCTCCCCTTTCTTTTTTTTCTTCTTTTTTTTTAGTATTCATCCCCTTGGCGTTTTACCTATTTTGTTGCATTACAACCTGTAATTTAAATGGATTTTTATTTGGATTTCATGTAATGGACATGCACAAAATAGTCCAAATTGGTGAAGTGAAATGAAAAAAATAAGTTGTTTAAAAAAATTATAATAAAAAAATAACGGAAAAGTGGTGCGTGCATATGTATTCACTCCCTTTGCTATGAAGCCCCTAAATAAGATCTGGTGCAACCAATTACTACCTTCAGAAGTCACATAATTAGTTAAATAAAGTCCACCTGTGTGCAATCTAAGTGTCACATGATATGTCACATGATCTCAGTATATATATATATACACCTGTTCTGAAAGGCCCCAGAGTCTGCAACACCACTAAGCAAGGGGCACCAACAAGCAAGCGGCACCATGAAGACCAAGGAGTTCTCCAAACAGGTCAGGGACAAAGTTGTGGAGAAGTACAGATCAGAGTTGGGTTATAAAAAAATATCTGAAACTTTGAACATCCCACGGAGCACCATTAAATCCATTATAAAAAAATGGAAAGAATATGGCACCACAACAAACCTGCCAAGAGGGCCGCCCACCAAAACTCACAGACCAGGCAAGGGCATTAATCAGAGGCAACAAAGAGACCAAAGATAACCCTGAAGGAGCTGCAAAGCCCCACAGTGGAGATTGGAGTATCTGTCCATAGGACC